ACATGAAAAATAAACCATAATAGGGATACTCTTTTAACAGAGAACAATCCAATTTCTGTTTATCTCCACAAGGAGAAAGGGTAGTCATAGTCCATGCCCAACCACAGGATTTGTCAGTGTTCTTGTTACTCTTCAGGGTGTGTGAGATAAGGGAGAGAAATGTGGATGTAATTTTTGGAAAGATATCAGAAATTGTAAAACAAAAAAAACCCCAAAAAAGAGACTTTCTACAAGTTGTAAAACAGAAATCTATGAACAAATGGGGGGTTCCAAAAGGAAACGAGGTATTATAAAGTCAAAGACAGAAGTAGCTTCACAAAGGTGCTGAAATAGGTGGAAGAAAAGTTGAGATTAAATGAGTAGAAAACGGAGAGTGAATCAGACAACCAGGAGTGAGGCAAAGAGAAAATGGAAGGGGCCCAAGTAAAGTAAAAAGGAGAATTCAATGAAGGAATAGGGGAAAAAAAATTCTAAAACAATGTATATGTATAAATGTAAAATCAGTCAAAGAAAATGCCCAGTCTATCATACCTAATTAATTCAGTTACTCGTTTCTACAAGCTTCCACAGCTCAGTGTTCAGTAAAAGGTTATAGGATAGTCCTTGAAATTTATAAATTCTGCAGAGTTTTCTTCATATTATGGATATTATTGCTATTTCTGGTGATTTGACACCAACTAAATATATACCTTTCATTGCTCCAGGCTAGCCCCTCCCTAACCCTGGGAAGAGAAGTTGGGAATAGTCTTCAGTATTCCTTACAAAACTCACATATGGATGGATGAAAGCCACAGGCTCTGTGCAAGCAGATGTCCCAATACTTCAGAACAGTCCATTTCTAAAGTAACTGAGGCTGTTCTTTCCATATATAAATCCCTTTCACATGTAAACCCACTGAGGATCTGCTCAAAACTATCAAAAAGTCAAAAGTTTTCCCATCAAGACAGTAAATGTTCCAAGAGAAAAATATCAAAAGGGCCAGAGACTTGCAGTGATGCTTTCAACCAATTTAATCACAGCTGATTATTTCCTGATTGCTAGGCAGGTGGTATAGATGCAGTTGTGGTGTAGTTGTAGTGTTTTTTTCTTGGGACAGGACACGGTTGAATTCACCATACTAGTCTTAATACCCAATATTAACTCCACAAATATGTTTTCGCAAGGTATTATAGTAAGTACAACAATACTGTTAACGATATCAATAATAATATCTTAGAATTATTTAAAGAAAAAAATAAACTATTTTTTATTCTTTATAAAACTATTGAGTAGAATATTCATACATTCATTCTAGGGCCCTGTTCTTGAATGACTCTCCCAACCTAAGCTCTCAGTGGATTTTATTTAAAAAACATGAAAGCTGATACAGTCTTAATGTAAGGGCCTAACAACATTGCTACAGAAGAAAATCATGAGAGTTCTACCTTCTCTCTTTAAAGTTTGTTTTCGCAGTGATCTGCAGATTTACTGATTTCCATGACCAATTTCTTCCAAAATTGTGTTAATAAAAATATCTGATGTAATATGTTGAACAGGGTTTTTCTTCAGTGTTTCTGAAGAATAATATTTAAATGAATAATGGATAATTTGGACTGAAGGGAACATGAAAAGTTGCTAACTTTGGTGCTCAAAACTTAGAATGATGTTGTAATAAAATCAGAAATAAAACCGGTCACTTTCAGACCACCATTTCATTGTATTTTAGCATTAAAGGTCTAGCAGGTAACAAGAGAGGACAGAACGAACTGACTTTTCATATGAAAACAAACTTTGGTTGTGGTCATCAAAGTTAAAGTACTCTAAGCATCTACTACGTGAGTAACGTTTCATAATGCACACTACGTTTCACTAAGTATTACAGTTATTGCTAAGTAGATACTGTGATTAGTCTCTGACGGTGTCATTTCTAACCGTGGCTCAGCTGTGCCAAGTATGTACAGGTAAAGATGTGGCAGAACAAAATGGCTCTGGCCAAGCAGAAGGTCACTGAGCTTCTGCTACTGCTTCTTACCAGCTGTGACTGCCTAAAGAAGTGATTATGTCCGTGGAGTGGTCCTACCGTTTCTTTCAACCTTAGAAATGTTTATGTCTGTTATATTCAATGGAGATGAGTATGTATTCCATTCAGAACCTTACTGTTTTTAATAGTTACAGACATTAGTTGGCAAAATATTAGTCTTGCAAAATATCTCCTCTGAGTAGTCTGGATTTGCACTCCTGCCAAGCCTATTAATCATTCTTTAAAATAATTCTTTTTACACATAATCTGACTCGAGACAGGTGGGGTGGAAAAAAAAAGGAAATGTATCCACCTTGAAGACAGAGAAAACTGTGTAGCAGTCAAATGCTTAGGTCTCAGATGTCTCACCAAATACCAAAAAGATTAAAAATGAAAAAAACAAGTCTTCCCCACAGCTATGACAAATGTACACAAATATCTTCATACAAAGAAGCAATAGTGTTACTACAAACATTTCCTTCACCTGCCAGAGAAAATAGTGTGTAGCCATTTCTGTCACTGAATCGCTCTAGGGTGGGAAGCTTGCTGCATCAGTGTTACAGTGGGACAGAAACGCTCTCTTTGTCAATGTTACCTTCTCATGGAAAAGACCTGCTAACACTGCATTAAAAAAAAAAAAAAAAACCAACCACAACAACAGCAAAACCAACCCCAAATCCCTTAGAAACTACGGAGTGAAAGACCTTAATTTTCCTCCTCCACAATTCTATTCAATGATTAAGAAGATATGGACAAACTTTGTTGTCATAGCTCTAAGAAACTGATTCCATAGGATTTTACTGGTATTATATCTTTTTAAACATATGAGCTTTCTAATAAATTGAGATTAAATAGCTATTTATAACTTCCTGACGATTCAGATTCATAAATACAAATGACTGAATTTTAGGAATAAAGTAATCTATTGGATGATTGGATATAAGTTCCTGAAAACGTATCAGAAAATATACCTGCAATGTTTAACTGGGAGTGTTGATATGAAAAAAAAGAAAATGAATTCATGTGAAGTGTCACCTTCATTGCTGATGGAGCAATGTATAAATGATACATCATTTCATCGCTGTGCCATTATTATAGTTATTCATGTAATTTTACAAGTCTTTCTAAGGAAAGGAAAATAACTTCAAAGTGTTATATTTATTATTTATTTCCTTCACTTGCCAGTGAAAATATTGTGTAGTTATTTCTGTCACTGAATTGCTCCAGGGAGGGAAACTTGCTGCACCACAATATTCCAGTGAAACAGAAATGCGTTCTGTGCATTATTTATATCTCTATATAATTTTTTGTATCTATCTATCTGTCTTTCCATCCATCCTTCCATCTCTCCATTCAGTCCTCCATCCAAGTATACACACAGTGAACTCTGGCTTATTGCATAATAAACTTATAAACAACAGTGCTATAATAAAATAACCCATACAATATAAAAGTAACTTGATTGCCTAAGAGGCGAAAGATTCACCTCCTTTGAAAAAAGTTTTTACAATTTTTAAGAGTTCTATGAAACAGACTAACAAAGCCCAAATTTCTGTTAATATGATAGAAAACATGTAGAAAACCACTTTCAATTTACCTTGGAAAGGGTAAAGACGTCATATTTTCTTTGAAAATAAGTTAAGACAAAAAATGAAAGCTTAAACAGTATTCTTAATCTCAAAACAGTCCACAGTTTGTCATAGAGGTGGAAGGGAGAGAAGAAAGTGGAAGATGATAGTAGTAATCCCATTAAAAAATTTACCATATATTATGTTTTGCTCTTTGTTATAACCGAACTCAAATAATCTACTGTAGGAAAAATCTTGCTCTTATTTTGGCAGCAGGCACAAATGGAAGTGTCCTGCTGCATAGCTGACTAGTACATCATGCCAAGGCATGATAACACTAAGCAAGTAACACTGATGTGCAATATTTTACTCCTTTGTGGCATTTACTCATACTGTAGCATCACACTAGACAATTGCCATTGGCCATTTTTTTAAGCACCCTGTTTCTGAGCTGCAATGATACTTTCTGGAGCTAGCTGGTTCCATGAACTGTTATTGAGGTGGTATTTTTTTCCCAAGGCTATTGATCAGGCTCCTTTCATAGGGTGACTTGAGTTTACAAATACAGTCATCGTTTGTCTCAGACTCACAATATTCAGACCAATCTGTAACACTTCTGTACATTATAGAACGTCAAATGGGTCGATATATTCCTTAAGCAGATTTTTCAGAGATTTATAGTGAAGTAAAATTAGCCATCCACGGCTTTTATAATACAACGGCAACCAGTAGGATCGGTGCAAAATACATTTATTTTTTAAATATATGAATATATTTTCAAGGTACAACATTGTACAAAATGAGGTTCTGACCCTATAGTCATTTACGAATATGCATAGTTGTCCTCATACTGATTTATCTAAGACTAAGTGTGTGCAACTGTTTGCAGACGCTTAGCTCAAATTAACTTCTCTGAAGACTTTTTCATTCTACTTTAATCCAAAAAATTACCCTTACAAGAATAAATACAGGTTTTAGCACTCTCTTCAACCTTTCAGTAATTCTGCTTAGCACTATGTCTAATTAATTAAATTTGAAACTTGGAAAATGACTTATATTCTTACATAACTTATATTGACTATTACTATGCTAAACATTTAAAATTTGTTTCTTACACTGCATACTGATTTCTCTTAGTCTTGGAATATTGAGATATGATGTTATTATGTAACTATTAAACAATGTCAGTTTGGCTTTGTGACCCTGTTAGAATTTGGCAGTGGGAAAATATTAAATGGAAAAAATGTCTTTTATTCCTTTTTCATCAGGTTGTATACATGGTTAACCTTCAAGTCCGTTTATTTCCAGTGATTTCTGATGGTTCATTAGTAAACATACTTCAACATCCTGGTCTATGACTTCCTTAAAAGCTTTAGAAAATATATTCTTTGGCATGAATTTTATTAAAGAATTCTAATTTTCTTTCCTTCAAGACACTCTTTTTAATGGTCTTGGACTCGGTGCTGTCATTGGCCTCGGAGTGGCAGCCCTTTTGTTAATCCTTGTTGTGACTGATGTTAGCTGCTTCTTTGTACGACAATGCGGATTGCTAATGTGCATCACCAGGAGGATTTGTGGGAAAAAGAGTGGTTCAAGTGGAAAAAGTAAAGAGCTGGAAGAAGGAAAGGCTGCTTACTTGTGAGTATTAATCGTGTATCTTGGAAACATCACTGAAAGGAAATCTTGGTTGTCCAATTTGTATTAACTTCTTGGCAGTTTTGCAGTGTGGCAAAGGGAATGCTTCATAAACTACTTCTATTACTTAGAAGAGTAATTCAGAGTTCCCCTGAAATGTACAGAATTGGGGGGGGGGGGAATGTTGCACCAAAAAAAAAGAGAGGAGGAAAAAACTGAAAAAAAAAGCATCCACCGTACTTCGCTTTAAGATGCTCTGTTTGTGCAACTTGGGCTACTCTGATGAAAAGTAAAATCAATCATAATTCAGTATTAGAGACAGGAACATTTTTGGTCCATGAGAAGTGGATGTCAGAGCATTTTAACTCCATTTATATTAGTCTTATCTTTGAGTTGCTAACATCCAAACTCAGTATATGATTGTGGCAGTGCCAGTAAATGTGGGAGTGAAGAACGGTAGGTTTTGTGGAAAATCAGTGAAAGAGCTTGTCTTCTTAAATACAGCTATTGCTCTCTCTCATTCTTGAATTTTTGGGATTAGAAGTATTGCTGACTTTTAAAAATAGAATGCTCAGAAGGACATGGCTGAAATTGCTGGTGAGTGTGATTATTCTTCATAGCAGCAGTTAATGATTGCAAAAATCAGCGGGAAAGAACAATCATGATTCTGACAAATACCCTTGCATAATGGCCACCTCATCAGAGAAACGGGAATGAACCATTCATTTATGGCCGAGTGTGCTGCCTTAAATAACAGAAAATAGTGAGATCTCTGGCAAAATGGTTCAAGTACTGACTGCATAAAATAATAGTACTTTAAAGAACAAATGTTTACAGGGTTTTCAAAAGGTAAGATGGGGAGAGAACTGTGTATGTATGTTCCCTCATTTTAACAGTTCCATTTTTTACTAAATATGTTAGCTTCACTTCTTCATTATCCTCATATGAAATACTTCTTAATGCGTATGCTGCCGTATTAATGAGAATGCCATCTTTGCACAGCTTAAATAACATTTACTGGTCCAGTTCCTGGATGCTGTAGCTCTCCCTGTAGACAGGCCCTGCACTTTGTTCTGCTGCAGCTTCCCAGATGCCGTCCTTCCCCAGCTGTTTGTAGCCCAGAGCGGTTTGCAGACTTCATTGTTCACAGCTGTGTCAGGCTTCTTTGGTGCCTCTCGTGGAGATAAGCTTTTCTATTTTGGGCTTTAGTTTTGCGTACTGTGATTGAAAGACTGTCAATCACTTGGGTCACTCTATTACATTTCCTGGCTGGATTCTCAAGAACCCTTTGTAAAACAGCTCCGTAGAACAAAACCAATCATAAGCAGGCACGCAATATTTACATCAAATAATACTTCTGAATAAGAGTAGTTGTGCCATAAAATAACTATTTTGTAATTCTCCGCAGCTTACAGTAAGAGAAAGAATAACACCGATTTCTCCATCGTGCTAAAGAAGTGTGTCCTGTTGAGCAGAATCAGCATTTGAAGCTTCTGGCTGTGATTCAGCTGTCTCTTCCTGCTTTTTTTTTTAAACTTTTGCTTTAATTTCACGTTTAGGAAGTAGCTAAATACGAATTGGGGTATAGACTCTTCTGAATGGGAAGACTTCAGGGAGCTAAAGTTGCAAATGTCACTTGTCAGCAATTCATATGTTGCTACCAACATCTATTATACAAATGCCATCTCGTGCTGTCCCAGAGAAGCACAAAGCTGATCATTTAACACTAAATTCTCCATGACGCTTTTTTGCAAGCATGAGTATCTTCCTCAGTTTTATTTCTTTCCTTGTTGGGGTGGTGTTCTGTAAGTCAGATCATAACATATTCTGGGACTGTTCTTATTTTAGCCTGTTCTCTGCATAAATAAAATAGCAGGACTGTCAGGCTAAAATTTAAAAACATTCTGAAACAGTCAAAATTTAAATTTGTTTCATGCCAGCTGCCATTCCCTAGAAGACACTGACATTTCACTCTTTTTAGGTGTCAGTTCACTTGCTGGTTTCTTTGAGTATTTTTGTTACATTTGATTAGTAGGAAAAACATAGTCATTGTTTATGTTCCATATGTAGTAATTGTAGATGCTATAATGCATGTAAAATACAGACAGCACATTCCTGGCACAGCAGTGACTTGACGTGATTCCTACAAATAAGTTTCCGTCTGTGGAACTTTTAATTGTTACACAATTTGTGTTTTCTCTACAATCAATTGTTCAATCTCTGTGAGTGCTATTTCTTAATAATACCATTCTTAGGCTTTTGGATATGTAATAATATGTGTTTATAGATAAGATTGCAGATATACAGACTAAATAAAGTAGAATTTATAATTCCCTTCACCAGTTCTATTATGAGCCATAATCTTTCCTCAGATACGAGGTAGTCATGGCTCCAAATTATAACTGTATGGCAATGTTATCAAATAACTAACTCCTAACTAGTAAATCGAATGCTTCATTTCTGTGCACCTTCTATAGAAATGAGTATTGTATTCATTTATATATGTCAAAGTGGAATTTTATTTTCACAGGTAAATAAACACAAGTCCTGCAGAGTTTTTAAAAATAACCAAAATCTGTTAAGTTTTTACCCATTAATCTTTCTTTTTTTGAATATACATTTATTTGTGCTGCACCATCATTACTTTATAAAGATTTTGTTAGAGGATACCTACCATAAGGTGGTAGGGTTTTCCACGTACCATCTCAATATTTAGATTTTTGCTGTTGTAACAGACTGTTTAAGGATTGTCCTCTCAGAAACAGTTTAAAAATACAACGTATGAATTAGACAAGGACTAGAGCTTCACTATGGCACATACCGATTGACAACTCTTTGGAATGTGAAAGGTCTGGAAAGTCTGTTAAATATGGAAGGGATTGTTAGCCTGGTTACCCTATGTTTTCGGATTGCGGCTGATAAAGGTCCAGGATACAATTGCCAATGTGATCTTCTAAAAAGGAAGGAAATATTTCAGTGGGAAGAGGTTTTACTTTGAAAATATCAGATATATTTTGGATATCTTTTGATCTGTCTTGAGTGTAAAAGTATAAGCTAGTAATTAACAGTAATATTGTTAATATTGCTGTAGAAGCAAACAGTACTTTTGTATCAGGGCCTGATATCCTGAATACTGAACAAAAGCATAATGAGAAGACTCCATGCTCCATCTTCCTCACAGTTCATTGGCCTATTGGCACAAAGGTCATTTAGTGTTTTAAGAGTGTGGAAATAGCATTTTTTCCTAAAATGGGGGGATTCTGACAGAGAAATAAAGATGTTTTTCTATCAATTGGAATAGAATGGGCTAGCTTCTTATTGCACAAGGGCTCTTTGCCATGTTCTGACAACTGAGTAGGAGAACAAAATATACAACATCTATACTTGCATAAAGGCTCTTTTCACTGCCAGAAAAGTTCAGGCGTAAATGAGGATCAGTTGACCTAGTTTGCTCTTTAACTATACTAGTTTAGCAAAGTATAAATCTATTCCTAGCAAGAGGATTTCCTCTTATTATTTAGTCATGAACAAAATGATGTTTTGAGATACAAAACCATGTTTATGGAATAGGTTAGTAGCCACATATACTGGGTACTTTGAAGACTTCAGGGATTTGAGAACTCTTGTTAAATGTGTCTTAGTGATGTTAATCTTCGATAATTAGTTCTACCTTATCTTTGACAACTTTTGAAAGAAGGCATCTTGGTAATTAATAAGGTGCAGTGTATGCGGTTAATATAATGCTAGAGATTAAGATTCTTTTAATAATTTTTAGGAAAGATGGATCAAAAGAACCAATAGTGGAAATGAGAACAGAGGATGAAAGAATTACCAATCATGAAGACGGGAGTCCAGTAAATGAGCCAAATGAAACAACTCCACTCACAGAACCTGAGTAAGTAGCCTGAAATTTTTCAGAGTTTACAAAAACTTCTAGTTCTGAAGACTTTCCACTCTGGGAAAGGGAGAGCTATACATAACATTGACGTGAAAATGATATGCTGTGGCAATGCAGTTTACCAGTGTGATGTTTTACAATAATCATTCTAAATCATGGCAGTCTGGGCCCACCTGACTCTCTGCCCACCCAGAGTAACCTCTACATCCTGTGGGAGACAGCAGCCGGCTGACACAGGCAGAGCACAGCCCTGCCGGCCTCTGCAAGAGCCTCTGCAGCCACAGTGCCCCGAAACCGACCAGCTCCCCTAACCTTTCAACAGTTACCAAGCAAGAGCACGGGGTTTTTCTTAATCAGATAAAGCTAATCTTTACCACCTCTTGCACCTCCCAAGGAGCCTACCCTGCAGCTATGAACCGC